CCCCCCCCCCCCCCCCCCCCTTCCGGGTGGGTATCGCACTTACATGTCGTTATGAAAAAGATTTACAATTTCCCCGAGAAATCTGAGCTGCCAAAGTTTATACTTCTGGTGAAAATGTAATTGACTTATTCTTTTCTGCGGTTCCGGGTTGGAAATAAAAAATTTGCAGAGATCAGAGCAGGCTCACTTTCTCGTCTCGCGGCTTCGCCGCTCGATTTCGCGCGCGCGCTTGTACTCCAACGTGAGCCCGCTCGCAGGCTAGGGTTACGCAGATTACAAAATTTCTGCAAGAAATTCCCCATTTCTCGAAAGCCAAAACTTTACATGACTTTCTATTCCACGATGAAGCGTAGCCCGGCGAGCATCCTGGGAATCAGGCTACTCGGAGAAAAAAAGAAGGGAAGGCCCGACAGTCAGTTCAACTTGATCAACTTTGAAATTTAGTTTGTTAATTGCTGATCAATTATTATCAATTTCTCATATGTAAACGGTCATCTAACATAGCCGAAATATCCGAGACATGTATATTACGGTTTACTTTTTTTAATTTGTCTTCTTCTCCTCTACCAAGTGTTTAAGGCCCCTCATTCCGAGTTTAATCGCAGCGTATTAAATAATTCCGTCTTCTTTTCTCTGTCAACTATCTTCTCTCACTGGACTTTCTCTCGCCTACACTCAGCTTCAAAACATTAAGGCAAAATGTATGGTGAGGTGCACATTATTGCACCTCAATAATTACTTCAATAGAGCAACCCCCTCCTATCCCTCAAAGGATTCAAAATTCAGGTAAATTTTTCCAAGTTCCTGACGAAATACTACTAACCTTTGATGTGCCCCTCGATTAAGGGTGAATTTTGTATGGCAACAGCCATGGCAACATAAATAACTTTTGGTGTTTTGAAACTCTTGCTCATGCCTGTTTTGATGAACCTTTTATTTCACATAACTGGTAATCACTGCACCAATGGACTGCCCAGAACAGTTCAGAAAGCGAGACACTTGGAAAGTAAATAATTTGAAAACTCAGTGTGTGCCAGTATCTCTGGAGATGGTTAGCAAAGTGACAACAGGGAAAATAGTCAGACTTTGGACAACTATGTTCTATTGATCTGATTATAAACAAAAAAAAACACCCATTAAATTGCTTAATATCCAACCACTCTCCAACAATGTGCATGGAACCATGGTTGCCACAGGCATCACTTTTCAAAATTCTGCAAATTTTCCCTGACAAAAATAAGATTTCCCTGACCAAATGAATACAAAAAGTCAGATCTAGTAGCAGCTCCTGGCCACTACTTACAGGCGTCCTTTCTACACTTCAATTAAGACTAACAAGTTTTCAACATATTTTCCTTCTTTGTTAAGGAAAAATATCGTTGAAATCTCAGTGAACCCAAATGTTTCTTCTAGCCTTCTACGGTATTAACATGTAAATCATTTCAATTTTCCCTGACTCAAAATTAAGTTCAGACTTTTCCGACCTTGAAGAATTTTTTTCCCCCAACCATTTCCTGACCTGTTGCAGCCCTGCGGAATTAAACTTCTCTATGAGAAAAGCTTTCCTCTAGATTGTCAACTCATCCTCAGCCAGGCAATCTTCTCAGTGCCCAGCCCCCAAGGGGGGGGGGGGCACTGCCATATATGGGCTATATAGGTATATGCCACTGTGAAGGGTATGGTTTTCAAACAGTTTACTCTAGGATAGGGTATATAAATCAGAGCATTTGGGTCTAGAATAGGGTATCATTTTTCCCAAAACTGACTAGTTGGTTGAAGACTTTGTCTAGACTAAGGAAACCAGGAATTGCTACTCAAAAATATAAAAAAATCAAATCAGCAAGTTTAAATTTACGCAAATCAGCCTCAATGGTGTCGATAGATGGGGGGATTTGGGGAGTTTACTCTAGTATAGGGTAGCAAAATTCAGCTGAACTAGCTACCAGTACTGCGCACAGAGACTTGTTTGTAGTCTAGGCATACACAATGTCACATTATGCTACAAGTATTCACAAGGGCAAATGAACCACTTCATGGATTACTTGCTCATGTTTAATTGGCTTTTGAATGAAACTACATGTTTAATTAGACATGACAGTTTCAGTACCTCCTGAGAATCTTCAAACATATCCTCTGTACGCTTCTTCTTCTTTGGCTCTCTCTTGAAGAAGTCATCAGTGAGACGTTCTGGAAGCTTGAAGCTGCCCAAGTCCAGCTTTGTTTCAGTAGCGATGACGTATGCTTGGGCCACTCTCCTAAGGGGGACACCATTCACCTTGTAAGGTCCTGTACAGACAAACAAGAACAAAACAGTGAGTATGATTCATCTAAAGGGCCACTATCACAACGACCTTGCTGCATTTTTGATAAAACAGTGCTAGACCTAGGGACCTCTTGTCAAACAAAAAATGCACCAGAAACACATCACGAAGAAGATATTCAGTGAATAGCTGAAGGGAGAACAAGCTGCATTTAGTTGTTGGCAATTTTTCCAAGCTCCAATGACAATGGAACTCTGCCAGACTTTTTCAATTTGACATCCTGTCGCATGCGTGACCCATTATAAACTTCAGTGCACATCTTCAATAATTTTTGATAAGACTAAGGGACGAAATATAGAAATTGGTGTAGATATTTACATTGAGGGAAGGTTTGAGAGGATAATGCATTGGCTGTTTAAAACCAAGAAAATGCATGATCGATCATAACTGAACTTGCAAGAGAACATGACTTCCTTGATCTGAATTTTATACATGGAGTGCAATATAGCCCACTATTTTGACTTGATTGTGTCATCTGTTCCCATAAGATGAAGTGGTGAGATGACAATGAATGGGTTAAGCAAGAGTGCTTTACGAAATCAAGCCTACCTGTGACAAGAAGAAGACCAGAGGCAAGTTGTTTGAGGAAGAAAACTCTCTGCCGGAAAAAAAATCATAACATCAACATTTCAACACCAACTTCTTGTGCAGTGCCAGTCAGGCTTTGAGTACAACATTCAAAAGTGGGGCAAAGCCGCCCACCTACCCACCTAGGACGATCTGAAAGTATGCTTGGTGATAAAGTACTTCCTGCATTCTGACAATAAACCCTTTTGAACAACATGCTCAAACAGAGATTTTTACTGACCTTGCCTCTGTGACGACCTGCAAGAAGAATGAGAACTGTTCCTGGAGTGATGGAGGATCGCAACTTGGTTGGCTTAGGCTTCCGGTTGTTCCTCAGGGGTCGTCGCACATCTTCAGTTGGGTAATAACGAGACTAAAGCAAGAGAAGATATTGCAGATTTAAATATTGGCCACCTGATTAAGTATCTCATATAACTCCCTCTGATGTGGCACCATTACCATTAATGAGAGATGACTACATGTATTTGAGCGGTTTTCAATTGACTGTCAAAAGTAATCAGGCAATTACTTTCATGGTTTTGGTTTTGGTTTTACTACGGTTCAAAATTGGTTGAGTAGTCTAATTGGTAACTAGAGCAGTTTTCATTTGAGTGTCAAAAGTAATAAGACAATTACTTTGGTTTTGGTTTTGGTTTTACTACGGTTTGAGATTGGCTGAGTAGTCTAATTGGTCAGTAATTGGTTTGGTTTTGGTTTTACGACACTCAGTTGAAAACCGCTCTAATTGGTTTGCTTTCGGTTTTACCATAGTCAATTGAAAACCGCTCTAACAGGCTAATCATATCTATAACAAGATTTGCAATTGTAATCAGTTCTCCACACACCTATTTGTCAAGGAATCAATGCACAGGTATCCAATTTTAACTTTTGGAATTGGATACCTGTAATTGCATACCTACACCATTCACACATCAATTATCTTAGCTTTAATAGCTTCCCTCTTAAATTATGTTCCCTACGATTTATACAGTTAATAGAAAACTCTACTGACTTTTTGGACCAAAAGAAGTTCTCATCGAGCTCAAAATTTGTTACTGATAAATTTAAAATTAGTAAATGGACCTCGAGTTGTACAATTGGCCCTTTGCACAACCCGGTCACATGGTACAAAGTCACACATGCTGGGATGCATGTTCCACAGTGGGACTTCCAAAACAAAGCAACTCATACCAGTCCACCCTGACCTGCCTTTGTTTTGGAAGTCCCACTGTGCAACTTGCACCTCACCATGTATGATTTTGTATCATGTGCCTAGATCGTGCAAAGGGTCTATTCAGGAAGTAATTGTGCTTGCAATTTCAAATTGGCCTTGCGCTGCCTGCTTGTTCAATTTTGAAATTACTCACCTGATTACTCTGTGAATTGTACTCCACTCCACTATTACTAAACTGAGCATTATTTAGGCTAACCAGAGTAATCTTTAGGCTTACAAGAGTGTTATTCAGACTCACTCCTTACCTAACACACCTCAACTCCAGTTCTAGACTGACCCATTTCTAATGTTCCATAATGTAACAAGGTATGAGGCGATGCTCGACAGATGACAATCATTATTAAAATATCCAGAACTATCAACATCTCCCTGAAACTTCAATCTATATATAAACGCAAGTTATCAGGGCAGGAGAAAACTTACCTCTCTTTTCACTGGCACAACTCTTGTGCCTCCATTCTTGTCACCTCCAACTTCCTTCACCTTCGATTTCTGTTCCTCAGACACTAGCTTCTTAACTCCCGTCTTCTTTCTCTTATACAGAGCCCTCTTTTTGTAGATGGCTGATCTGCTGTACCTCCCGATACCGGGGGCGAGATCCCTATTGCGTGGTGTGTGGACTTTTGCCATCTACAAGAATACACGTGAAATTTTATTACCAAGAGATCACAAGAGGAATACAAGTCTGGTAGGGTCAAAAAGCTGTTTGTTCAAATTTTATAAGCTGCAACATAGTCCTTCACCTCTCCAAAGTTTAAAAAAAAAGTAGTTCTAACAAGACTGAACTCGCAACCATTATAATTGTAAAAGGACGTTTAACTCTTGCAGCGATTTCCCGTACAAAAGACGTCCACAGAATTTTCGTCATGTAACAAATTATCAGAGTAAAACAACAAATAATTCTTTATTTTTTCACGGAAAAATACCCCTATACAGTAGAAAGATTATTGGCACAGGAGTAACTAAAAATGAGCTGATGATGTCGTAAACTAAGCTAGATTGAGGCTGATTTGAGTCGCCATATATTCTTATATCCTAACCTTTCCAAAAGCCACAGCGAAGAGACCGATGACATACGGGAAATCGCGATTGAAGAACTAGTCGAGCCTGCAGTCTACCAAGTTTCAGTCAGTGGCAATGTGGATGAAAGTAGCATTCAGTCTTCACGCGGTCGGATATTGGTTCCTGGTTGAAATCTTTCTTTGCGTAACATTTGCGTGTAAACTACTACGGAATTTTTTCAATTTAAGAACCTTTTACTTACACTTTTAAGAATGGTTTTTCTTCGCATTGTCCGTGTCATAAGCACGCGTAAAGCACGAAGTCTTCTAGTCGGATTTGGAGCGTCGGCCGTAGGTTTTGGTACAACTTTTGCCTGTTCAAGCGTTGCTGCGCGAGAGAGGAAAGTGGACTCGTCTCAATTTATGGCGGAACCGTTAACAGACACAACCAGTCTGGAGAACAGTATGGACGACATGAAAAGCAGAATGGAAGTGATGATTCTTGGCGTGCAGGCCGACATTTGCAGGAGACTTGCGGCAATCGATGGACAAGAATTTCGCGTAGATCGTTGGTTGCGCGAGGAAGGTGGTGGCGGTGTAAGCTGTGTGCTTCAAGATGGTAAGACTCGGGCTTTGCTCGGAAACTTATGACTGACTTAAGATAAATGCCCCCAGTCGAATCTTTACCTTGGTAGCCTTCCTATAAACTGGCTGCATCCATAATCCGACCGCTCTAGTGGAAATTATAAAGGTGCTTAATAAAGGTGAGGTGGGGTTGCGGGGGGG